TGACATGTAAAACAAGCTTGTTTCTAATTTAAATAAAAAAGAAGGAAAAAAAAAGGATTACAGCTTGTGGCCAAAAATGGCCCGCTACCTATTTTGATTTTATGAACTGACTTCTGAAATTCTGCATGGTGATGTCTGCATTTCATATGCCTAAAAAATGATAAAAGATTAATATTACTACAACACTTGAAAATCATATGGAATTCACACTTTACAACAAAACTGAATTAGCTGTTCCAAGCAACTGTTGCTTTACTACCTATCACTCTTTTGTGCCATGGTGACCCTGAGCCAACATATAACTGAACGACTGTGATGGAGACATGTGGCTAACAAAACCCGAGTATTTACTCACTCACTGCTTTTTGCACAGTATGCAGACCACTGGGCTACATTCCTGCAACACAATTATAGCTGTGCTACTTAAATACTTAATCATAAGATAAGCAGTTATGCTGTAATATTTAGTGAAACAATTATGAAGCCCTGTATATATGAAATGGTCCTATTTTTTTCTTTGTGTAATTTTTGCTTCTTTATCCTGGGAAAAATTTAAGCTTCATGAGAGCAAAAGCAAACGTTGACACCTATCTGTTCATAGTTTATTTTCATTCTCTAAGACACTGCACAACTTATAGTAGTTGCTCAGTAGGCAATACGTTTGGCTGAAGGCTGATGTGCTATGAGGCTGTAGGAGGTGCATATGTAGAAAGGCTGCTATAAAACATTTGTTATGTATTTATGTTATGCACTAGGATGATGGTTTTATTTATTTGCCTTAATTTTTCTTTCATTTAATTTATATATGTCAACATAAAAACCTATTAGTAAGGTATAATGTTCAAATCAGGTTGACCTAACTGTCATGCTGATTTTACACAGTGGGTGACCATAGACTACAATTATACCCTTAATATGTTCAAAAGTTTTGAGGAAGGGATTTTCAATGTTTCCACCAGGTAGAAGTGATAAAAGTTTGAGGAAAGACTTTTCTCTTTAACTCACAGTCTTATTTAATAATAGCGAAGTCAGCTTCCAAAGATACACAATGGCTCCCGTGTTACAGAGGAAGAGGCAGGCTTGAGGAGGCCTTGTTCCCTGTGTAATGTTACAGAGCAAGGAGGTCACAGACCAAACAGCAAAGGTCTTTTGGGTTCCATGGTCTAAACTTCAGCCACCAGTTAACCTTGTTCTCTTCCTAATTTCTAAAGCTATGTATTTATTCAGGGGAGAGTGAAAGGGGCAGGGAAACTTTAGAAAACAAAACGTGGTGGTTTGTGATGACAATTGAGTGTGTTTTTCTTAACTATACATGCTCATATAGAATTTTCATTGCATACATTGAGAGACTTGTTTTTATTTAGTTTAATAGTAAGGCCAGGGTATTCTTAAAGATTAGGAGATAGCCTACAAGGTCTCTCTGACTCCTGTAGACCACTTTTTGCTCTTTCCAGGGCTTGGGGTGTACAGGAAATAGCTGCTTGCCTGTCCCTTGTAATGACTATGCTGTGATATGCAGTGTTAGGCTTTAATCACCTTTGAACACTTCCTTGCTCTGAGATGAAAAGTGCTGTTTGTCACAGTGTCAAGGACCCTGGCTCACAGCCTCTTGCAGTTCAGATGTCCTATTTATTTGTCTCTGAAAGCTGTGTGATATTTTCTATTCATATTAGGTGACATAGGCCTGATTTGTCTTTCCCACATGATAGACAGACCTTGTATGGATTTTATTCTCTCTCTCTCTCTCTCTCTCTCTCTCTCTCTCTCTCTCTCTGTCTCTCTCTTTCTCTCTCTAAATCACCACAGTATTTGGAGTATACATAATTGTCTTTGCCTTCTATCTTAGAATGTAATCATGTCTCAGGAGCCCCAGTCGCTTAGTAAAAAGAAATAGAAAGGAGGAATGTAATGATAAAAATAGTGTTCCTTTGGGTCAGCTTGAGGTTCTTTTCTTCTCTTAACTGAGTGGCAGTGACTGTGCCATATTCTGCATAAGCCAAAGACCTTTCTCATGCTGTACCCTACTCTGTTGGTGAAATGGAGAGTGAGTTTTCTTTGGAACAGGCTGGGATTGGGGGCAGTTAGAATGATTGAGTGCTTTTAAAACACTTGGTATGCCACCAGCTTCAGAATGGGTCAAGCGGCTGACTGTTTCCTGCAGATAAGAACACTGTGAGATGCAAGCAAGAAAAGTTGAATTGCTGGCTGGGTGAAGAAAGTTATAGATTCTGAACATCCAAGGCTGTTTCAAAGGGCTTTCAAAAATTCCCGGGGCATGCCTGGACATTCCGGTCAGAATTCCTCAGGGCTCTATTGTTCAGGCTTGCTCAGAGTTAAGGGGGCTTTTTAGGTGTTTGTAATTGCGTTGTTTTCTTCAAGAGCACCACACTGACTTTTGAGTTATAAGCAATCCTGTTCGTCACCATCGCTGTGACTTTATTTGGCTGAAATGTGTGCTTGCCAGTGACAGTTGTGGTTGTGAGCCTGAAATGTTGTTGAGTGGACTCCATCCTGATCTTTCCTGTTGATGATGACTCCACTGGGGCTTAGCATACTTTATTTAGTTTAGCAATGATAGACATTATATTTCTATCCAGTGACTGAGATCCAAAGAACTTGAGTGACATTTTAATAAATATCATCTATGAGCACACAGTTGCAGAAGTGACATTTGCTTAAAGATACCTTATGAGGTTATATGTGCATATGTGATCCTTTTCCAAGACCACTGCTGTGCTTGCATGCTTCCTTTCAGAAAGGAAAAACAGAAACAAACACACTTCTTTCTCTTGCTTTCCTTCTTTGGAGACTTTGGTAATTGATATGAAGCATCTAATTTCTCTTTGAAATTTGTGACTTCTAAAAATTCTCCCCACCCCCGGCATCCTTGTGTAGCCTCCAAAAATCAGACAGCTGTTATTACAAACAGAGGCCGCTCTGCTCAGACCCTGAATAGACAATTATAAATGTCTGGATTCTTTCCTTTCTTGTGGTGGCTGCTTTTAGATGTGGAATAAAACCATGCTAACCAGAGGAGGCTTGAGTGGTGGTTAGTAGCCTGTTTCTGCCACATCCATAAATTTTGTTAAATTTTCTCTTCATTGTCTATAATAACTTTCCACTTCATAAGACTTATAACTTAATATTATTGTTATAAAAATATCCAAATTTGTGAAGGCACAGGGAGCATGGAATTTGTTTAATCAGTGTCCCACATTAGATGGGTAGGAGTGAGGGTATGGAAGTGTGAGTGACCTTCTCAAGAACACTTGTCTACTCAATAGGGCAGCGTGCTGAGTGAACTGTTTGCTTTTCTGATTCTGTAGATGGCCACCCTCGTCCTATCATTCTCTGGGACTCATCTCTAGCATCTGCAAGTAACGATAGCCATTCTTCTGTTAAGATCACCTGGAAAACATATCAAAAGTCGCTAAAACAGAAGTGCTGGCTGAATGGCCGGGTTCCCAGACCTGAGTGGGGCTGCACTGAAATCCATCACCACGAGTGGTCCAAGATGGCTCTCTTTGATTTTTTGTTACAGGTAAGCTTATCCAGTTCTCTAAGTGGTTGTCTAAGACTGACGGTGTTGTCAGGCCTCAAAGGAATCTTCAGCACCTGGAGTTTCTATGGAGTTGCAGTTTAAGTTCTAGACTGCTGTATTTGGCCAAGTACAGCATGCGTATTATGAAATTTTGTATTCTGGTAGAAGATTTTGTCCTGACCCATCCTGCAGCCATTCAGTCCCAAATAAACACACAGACGCTTATATTAATTATAAACTGTTTGGCCTATTGCTCAGTCTTATTACTAACTAGATGTTACAACTTAGACTAGCCCATAATTCTTATCTATGTTTAGCCACATGGCCTGGTATCTTTTCTCAGTAAGGCATTCTCATCTTGTTTCCTCTGTGTCTGGCTGGCAACTGTCTAGAATTCCCAGAATTCTCCTAATCTGGTAGTTCCACCTATACTTCCTGCCTGGCTTCTGGCCAGTCAGGATATTATTAAGCCAATATGAGTGACAAATCTTTACAGTGAACAAGAGCATTATCCCACATCAGATGATTGTGGATATTCTTTTAAAAGTTATTTTCTGAAGAAGTAATCTAGTGGCTGGCCTGCAATTTGTCTACTCATCCATCATAGCTACTATATATTGAGTCGTAGGGGTGTGTTTTATCATATTCTGAAGGCCAACTGAAGTTTGGTGAGGATTGGTATCTCATTCAAGTTCTTGTAATAATACTGGGAAGACACATACATACATACCATGATCCATATATTATGAAAGTAGTAAAAGGTAATTATCTCTACTACCGCACCCCAAATTTTTTTGGTGTTTGCTTTCTTTGGAAGTGGAATAGTTAGGAAACTGTAGTATATGAAATGAAAGCCAGATCCATACCGGAATTGCTGGCTGAATATTAGTTCTGATTGTTCCGAGGTCAAAAGAGTGAGAACATGTGCCACTAAATAATGAAGAGAAAGCGTCTGAGAAGAAGTAAAAATAGGAGGCTGTAGAAAAGCATGAGAGGAACATGGATATGACAATGCTTCATGGTAATTAATCATCTTCAATATGCCATTTAAAGCAGAGCCTTTGTCCAAGCAAGTATTGGGAGTTCCTGCCTGTGGACATAGGAAGTAACAAAAGGGAAGGGCTCCTTTTCACAAGTATGTGTGGACTGTGTCACCCTACTGTTCATTACCCCAACTAGCCAGAACAACTAGCAGAACTAGCCAGCTGCTCCATTTTCCTTCTGAGAACAGTAGCAGCTTTGACCCACATAGGGACATTGTTGGCTGTCTTGATGAATATGAGCATATGAAATAATCACCATGAATTATAAACATGCATACATATTCCATATACCTTGAAATAATAATGTGATTAACTTCCCACTCATGGAACACTTACACTGTGCCAGCATGGCTCTAGGCACCCTGGATCTAAGCACTAAGCTATTAAGTTACGAACTAAGTACGATTGTTATTCCTACTTTAGAGATGAGGAAGCTGAGGCAAGCCTAAGTCTACTAGTCTTGCCAGGGTCACATGGGCAATATTCACTAGTCTCCGGAGTCAGACTGAGAGTTCTGCCTTGAGAATCAAGCCTCCAACAACTTAATTTCATCCCTTGTACAGAAAATAGTACCATCTGTAGCCACTCTTTCAAGTGAAAAATTGAGAAGCCAGCTGTGTGCTTCTGTGAGGGCCACATTCATAGTGACCAAGTCTTGATGTCTCTTGATTTGCTTTCTTGAAGAAATCATTCACTGCCCCGGTCTTAGCTCAATCCTTTGTACTTTCTTACTTAGATGACTCCTTTTAAACCTTGCAAACTGTACTTTTTTGCAAGCAAAGATCACTTATGGCAAAGGTTGCGGGTCTGCAGGTCTGTGGGGTAGTCTATGCTGTTGCTCCCTCTGCCTGTGGTAGGAAGGTTTTCTTCCTTGATAATTTTTGAGGAAGAAGTTTGGGCAAGGCTTTTCCAGAACTCAATCAAACCAATATATCAAGTGGGAGCTCTTTACTCTGGTTTATAAGTCTAAAACTCAGTTTTAAGTTTCAAACTCAGAAATTGCATTTATTAATCATCAATTTAACTAGTATTTGCAAATATACATATACACACATATATGTATATATATGTAAATGGCATCTGTTGGGAGGACTTATTTTTTATTTTTAATTATTTATTTCTAACAGTGAAGAGGCAAGAAGCTAATTTTCTTTAAATAGTGCATCGTTTTACCATTTTATGTGTTAGGTCTGATAGTACCAGCTTCCATCTTCTTCTCTACTGTGGGAAGCAGAAGGCACTGTGATGTTTCTATCAAGCAGATGTAGGGTGATGAGCTCTTATTTGAATTTTTCAGTTTTACATTGTATATGGGATTGAGTATATTATATAATTCAGTTATTTAGTTTGGTTTCACTAAACCTCTTGTTTAAATTATTGCCATCTTATAACTTTCCTTATTGACTAAACTTTGCATATTGTGAAAAGGAGCCCTTATTAATGTCTGTACCTGCCAGCTTTCTGAGACATGACCAAAGAGCTGAGACAATCAACCTATGAACAGAAAAGACATCATGGTTCACAGTTTTTAACATTTCAGGCTGTCAATGGTTGGCCCCATTACTTTGTGTGATAGATTGTCATGGAGCAAACCTGTTTATGTCATGGACAATAAACAAATGACAAAGAACAGAGGGGCCAGAATCCCACAACTTCCTGTTTATCTTTCCTCAAGAGAGATTAATGAACATTTGTCACCTGTGATATGTCAAAGAACTGATTCATCCAAATCAAGCTTGGTGAACCAATGTGCTTAGTGACCTTATAGGCAAATAGGGGGTGGTAGTGGTGGTGGTCATTTTCAATGGTCACAAATACTACTACATCACCAAAATGTGCCATCCCTTCATGGGTAGGCCATCATGGTAGCTGAATTGTGAGGTTCAGCCTTCAGTTAGGTGTTTACTTCCTATATATCCTAGTACCTCTCAAGATCATATGCAGCTTGGGCACACAAGCAGGTAACAGCAATATTGTTTGACTTTTCCTGGGGAGACATGAACCAATTCTGTTCATCCAATTTAGGGCATCAATGACAGAGTGCAGGAACAGTTCTAACCAAGTCTAACTTTGCAAACCAATGATTTATTGGGGTTACTTACAGATACATTCATGAAGTGTTAAAGGAACATATATGACATAAAGGCAGCTGTATCACTGAAAAAGACAGTCCAGGATTCTAGGACTCATGAAAACTGTATCCCTGGAGCTCCCTGTGTGATTTGTAGGTGGCATGGAGGTAGTTCCCCACACAGAAGATTCTCTCTTCTTTCTCTAGTCTATTTACGTAAGAGAGGCCTTGAGACACCTACCTTTCTGACTTCCTTGAGTTGAAGCTTGGGTCTCATTAACTTCCCAATTCTTTTCCACTCCCCACAGGAGTGAATGTTACAATTTAGAGGAGGTATTTGACTAATAATGTGCCCTTCCTTCAGCTCTGACACCTTTTCTGCCACCTTTTTTTTAATGATACTCCCTGAACTTTAGTGGGGATAATATAAATGTCTTGGAATTTTCTTCCAATTATAGCTAAACATTAAGTCACTATACATAGAAAGAGTCACATATTCTAAGTAGTTTTACAATGTATGAGTCATAGTATCAACCGCTCATAGCAACAAAAAGAGGTTTCCCCCAGGTCAAACCTGACAGTACCAGTAGTCTATGGTGTATACAAAAATATTTAGAAGACAATTTGACAGGCATGCTATGTCCTTTTAACTAAACAATAACACTGGGGCCTCTCAGCTCTCCAGCCACAGATCTTTGCCTTGATTAGTTTACTGTACTAACATGAGTTCCCTTCTCTGGAGATAGTCTTAGGTCCAATTGAAAAGCAATTGATTGAACCTACAACAGGTATGCCACATTTTGCTTGGTATGTCGGTAGTGTGGTATGTGGTATAACTTAGCATGGCTTTTGGTTTGGGGACAATTCTCCCCAAACGACCAGAATAGGGCTTTCCAGTACTGTAAAAGCCAGGGAATATGAAAGGAGCTTCTATCTTAGTTTCGGCTTGAATTTTCAGTATCCTAAAAACAAAATGTGCAATGTCGTCAACAGTAGGAACTTACTCTGTAGGTCTGGCATTAACCAACAGCAGGAATAACAGACTTTGTGATTTGTGAGAATTCAGGGGCCTCTCTAGGCAATAATTCATAGGTCTGTGTTATACTTAGATGTAACTGTCAACTTCACCCAGCTTAGGATCACTTTCAAAGAGTCTCAGTTGAGTAATTTTGTTTATCAGGAGGTCTGTGGGCTTGTCTGTGAGGGATTGTCTTTATTGTTAATGGGTGTAAGGTGGTCCTGGTTTAAGAAAGCTAGCTAAGTCTGAGCCTGAGTGTGTGCCATAGAGTAAGCTGGCAAGCATCATTCCTCCATAGTTCCTGTGTTGAGTTCTTGCCTTGACTTTTCCCAGTGATGGATTGTGATCTGGAAAGGTAAGATGAAACATACCCTTTCCTCTACTAAGTTGCTTTTTGCCAGAGTGTTTTATCATAGCAACAGAGAGGTAATTAGAATAGGAGGTAACCTATTCCTGGGACCAAGGTTTTTATTTAATAACATGGATTCTTCGAGTGCCTTTCCCCACTCAAACAGAGTGCCTTCCCTCAGAATCTTTAACATCTGTTTTCACTTTTCCTTTAGATGTGTTTCCAAATTTGTAGCATACCCAAGACACTCAAATGTATTATGTAATGAAACCTTTTTATAGAGGGCAGATGTCTTAAGGCTTACCATTGTCCACTTTAAGAAAGTGCCAATTGGTTTTCGGATTTAGCTGCTAGAGTTAGACTTTTCAAAGTGTATGCAGGGCCTTTAAAGAAGCATTGAAGGATCTTACCATTTGTATAAATTGTTTTATAAAAAGAGCAATGTTGAATAGGGTGGAATGGATGGGAGGCATGACCATATTTAGCCTTCTTCAATCCACTTGTTCTCCATGAGCTGTC